CGGCGCGCCTCCCGGCCCCCTTCCCCCATCGCTGACCTAGTGGCCTCTCCTGGCCCCGGAGGAGACGGGCGACGGGGACGCCGCTCCTGTCTCCTCTCCTGGGCCTTCCTCCTTCTTCTGTTTGTCACTTTCTCAGCAGCACCTGCGTGTGCCCTTCTCCTCCCTCCTCCCCTCCCCTCCTCCCAGATGATAAAATGAGTTCAGAAGGGCCTGGCGTTTCATTTGGGTGATTACCGCCGGGCGAGAGCAGCCACTCCTCTGCCTCAGGGCGCGGGGAGATTAATATCCTCTCTGGCAACTCATTATCACCCCGGGCCCCTTCCATAAAATCAACCTCAACCAAGGCCGGGGCGCGGCTGCTGGGAGTCCAGGCAGAAGCAGCTGCCGGGCGCTGGCGCAGGGGCTGGGCCTCCGCCGCCTGGGGTCCAAAGGTGTTTGGGGGAACTGGTAGAGGGTTTGCCACTGGGGGAAGAGGCAGAGTGCCCAGAGAACGAGGGTAGGAAAACCAGAGGGAGGGGGGAAGACAGATGCTTTTTTTTTTTTTTTTGGTTTTTAAAAATCTGCAATCTGTACATTTCTTTTTAATTTCTAACACATTGGTGAGATTCAGCCTGCAACAATCTCTCCCCCGGCTGGCCCCACATCTGGGGATTATTTTCCCCTTGGGCTCAGCCAGCCCAGCCTCAGCGCCCCCGCCAACACTGGGCAGCCAGGGAAGAGTGGGGGCTCGGCCCGGAGCTGGGGTGCTCCAGGCCTCTGCGGAGGGTGTGTCCCTCTACCCCCAGGGGACAGGCGCTTCCTCTGGGACGCGGGGAAAGAGCGACATCAAAGGAAGACGCTGTTAATAGCGCCGCCCCTCCCCCGTCCTCCAGCAGAGCCAGGCCCCGGACCTGCGCCGGCCCCTGCGCCTCCAGCAGGCCGCTCAATCTCCGCGGAATTTATCTCACTAATAAATTTAATGATCAATTCGTTCTTGTCACAGTAGCTCTTCCCCAAATCAATTATAGCAAATTTAAATATAATCACTGGCTCGTCCTCATCCACTCCGGGCACGGTGAACAATTCATTCTGCCTAATGAACGGTCTCGAGGACCCGCTCTGCCCGCCTTGCAGGCGCGCGCCCCACCCCCGGGCGCCGCTCTCGGGGTCGCTGACTCGGCTCGGCCTGGGGCGGTGGTCCCTTGGGGCCCAGGCCTCCAACCGCACCTGAGCCGCCAGCTGACCCCGCGCATGGGGGAGAAAGTCTTTGCAGCCCTCAAGAATCGGGTTCTCAGCACCTGGAGCCAGGTCTACGCAGGGGGCCCCCGGAGGGAGCTGAGGTGGTGTTTTCAGACAGGCCCAGGCTTCCCCCACGGCTCATTTCTGCCGTCCTCTAGCTGTCCTAGAGGCCTGCGGATCTCACTGCCTTAAAGACAAGAGAAGGTACGCAGGGGGAGACCCCGCGGCGGCCGTCACTGCGACCCGGGGCGCTGGGTCCCCATGGAGGGGACCCACCCAAAGCTGACCCTGTCCCCTGGAACAGCCGGGCCCCCCTCTCCTACCGAGGCCCCCACCTCTTGGCCACCGTTTTCTTCGCTCCAATGTGGGTTCTCCTCCGTTCTTAGAAAGGGGGGCCTTGCTGCGGGTGAATTCTGCAGGGCGTGCAAACGCATGTGGGGAAGCCGTTTTTGTGACTGGAGAAAACACTTCACACACGCGCCCCAGAGGGAGGCCCAGGGGACTCCTTTCCAGCCCCTCCTGGAGCTCCGTGTCATCCCTGGTGTCAGGGAGTCAAGAAACAGCTCGAAGGGAAAGGAGGTGGACCTGTCCTTTCGCCGATCCGGTGACTTTCCTTCTTTGATACAGAACGCAAGGCAACCAAAGCAAAAATAGACAAATGGGACTGCATCAAACTGAAAAACGTACGCGCCACAAAGGACGATCAACAAGAGTGAAAGGCAACCTGGAAATGGGAGACATCATCTGCCAAATGCGAATCAGGGAATGGGTTAATATCCAGAGTATGTGACTCTCACCACTCTACAACAAAACCAAAATGGGCAAATGACTTGATCAGACATGACTCCAAATAAAATTTTGAAATGACAACACACATATGAAAAGATGCTCACCACCACTAACCATCAGGGAAATGCAAGTCAGAACCACAGATCCACCTCACACCTGTTAAGATGGCCAATATAAAACAAACAAAAAGCACAGAAAATAACAAGTCATGATGAGGATGTGGAGAAGTTGGAGCTGTGGTCAGAATGTAACATGTCATAGCCATTATGTAAAATAATACAGAATTTCCCTAAAAATATTAAAAATCAGGCTGGGCGCAGTGGCTCACGCCTGTAATCCCAGCGCTTTAGGAGGCCAAGGCGGGTGGATCATGAGGTCAGGAGTTCAAGACCAGCCTGGCCAAGATGGTGAAACCCCGTTTCCACTAAAAATACAAAAAATTAGCCGGGTGTGGTGGCAGGCGCCTGTAGCACCAGCTACTTGGGAGGCTGGGGCAGAGAAGTGCTTGAACCCTGGAGGCGGAGGTTGGAGTGAGCTGAGAATGTGCCATTGCACTCCAGTCTGGGCGACAGGGCAAGGCTCCCAAGACTCAGTCTCAAAAAATTTAATAAATAAAATGAAATTACCATATGATCCAGCAGTCTCAGTTCTGGGTATATATCCAAAAGAATTGGGGAAAAAAAAAAAAAGATCTCAAAGAGACATTTGCACACCTGAGTTCATTGCAACACTCTTCACAATTGCCAAGAGGTGGATGCAGCCTACATGTCCATCAACAGAGAAATGGCTGAGGAAAATGTGGTGCACACATACGGCGGCGGAGCGCTATTCAGGCTTTAAAAAGAAGAAAATCCTGTCACGTGCTACAACACCCATGAACTCTGAGGACTTTATGCTGAGTGAAATGCCCAATAACAAAAGCCAAACACTGGCCCTGCGTGGGGGCGCCCTCCTGCCGTCCCAGCTACTGAGGAGCCAAGGCAGAAGGCTGGCTGGAGCCCAGGAGGTCCAGGATGCAGTGACCTTTGATGGCACCACTGCACTCCAGCCTGGGCCACGGCGTGAGACCCTATCTCTAAAAAAAAAATAGTAATAAATAAGCAAGCAAATAAACAAAAAGACAAATGCTGCAAGATCGTATGAAATATCAGTTTAGATGAGTCAGACTCAGAGAGGAGAATGGTGGTGGCTGGTGGGGTTCGGAGGTGGGTACTGGGGAGTCGGTGTTTCTTGGGGACAGAGTTTCAGTTTGGGAAGATGAGAGAGTTCTAGTATCTGTTGCTCATAGTTAACCCTCCGGTACTAACACGAATGGTCACAATGATTGTAAAAATAATTCTGTTGTTTTTTCTTCCTTCCTTTTCCTCTTCTCTGCCGTTCTCCTCTCCTCCCCTCCGACCCCAGCCTCTCCTTGCTGAGCTGCTCTGGAGGGGGCGCCCGGGCGGTTCCTCAGCACCTCTCACGTCACCTCTTAACTGACCTGCGGCCACCCGGTGCCCCCTGTGCAGGGCAGCGCTGCGTGCGCCCCAGGCTTGGAGGGGGCTGCCAGGCGAGGGGGAGGGGAGTGCGGGCGGAGGGGCGCTGGGACCCGCGTGGGGCGCCGCGGCAATGCGGGCGCCCCCCAGCCCCCCGGTATCAAAGTCCTGCGGAGCGCGGTCTCCCTCCATAAAACTAATCCCCTCGGAGGTGTGACCTCCACCAGGAATGCCGCGGCGTTCCCGACCACAAGGGCAAATATGTTTTTCAGATTTGGTTTTTATGGTGGGATTAAAGTTTATTTTCCATAATAGGGCACCTAATAAAACTCCTAAAGCCGGCCGGGCCTCCAGCTGGTGGCCTGGTTTCACACTTTCACTTCGTAAATCACTTTACGACGCGCCAGGTGTGTCTCAAGCTGGACCCGACAGGAACGGGCGGCGGCCGCGGGTTTGTCCAGCGCGGGGGTCCCCGGGTTCGCGCCC